ACAAAGTATATGTGAACTGCTGTATGAAAAGTGAATTTACTCTGTAAATCTTCACCCAAATCCTAATAAAAAAAAAAAAAAAATGCCTAGACAGGGAGGGGGAAGGGTGGCACCGAAAGGGGAAGTTTTGAAAAGGCCCAACATTTAGTTCACATCTTAACCAAAGAGCAGTAGAATTTTCTCTTTTTATTTATTTTAATCTGGGGCAGCTAGGGAGTGTGTCAGAATCATTCAGTTGAGGGCCTGGTGAGTGAAGCTTGGCCACAGGTGAGACTCAGTGGGCAGTCAGGTGGGGTTGGGGGCTTTGAGGAGGCATTTGGGAGTGTCCCTGTGCCACATGGGGAGCATTGTCAGGATTCTGGCTCCAGGACTTGTGGGAAATCCCATTGACTGTCTGGTAACCCTCTGCGCCCTGCCACGCTCCCCGTAGCCTTCCCATTTACAACCGTCAACTCTGCTTCCAACAGGCAGCACCTGCCTCCTGGGGGGCGTTTGCTGGCTGCCACAGTCCACTGTTCCCACACATGTGGCAGGGAATTAGTGCCACCACTCTGCCCCACCTACATCTCTCAACCAATGAAGCCCTGACATCCCTCAGCCAATGACTGGCAGAAGCTGGTGGATGGACCCTCAGCCTGAGTGGAGCGCTGACGTTTGTTCCACGGCGGCTCCCTCAGCTCCCCAGCAGGATTTGGCTCCAGCTGCCCAGAGTGGAAGCTTGTTAATGACACCCCCTTTATTGGCTGCTTTCATGTTACCTGGGATCACTTCCCAAGGAAACTGCTTGCATTTGAGTCGTTCCCTCAGGGTCTATTTCTGGACCTGAAAAGTCATTTAAAAATTCATGTTTTGAGAAAGGCCTAAATTTTCTGCTCTTCTCTCCCCTCCCCCAATCAGGACTTTTCTGGACACGTCCCCGTCGTGGCAACCTTTCAGCCTAGTGACTCAGAGTCCCTAGATGACTTAATCCTCTGTTCCCAAAAGGAACTGACCAGAAGGGCCCGGCTGACCCCTGGAGTCAAGACCCCTGCTGCCCTGCAGGCAGGCTGTGAGGACAGGGCTGAGGAGGAGGAGGAGGTCACAGATGACAGCATCAGCTTCCAGCCCTACATTGAGCCTCCCTCCTTCCTGGGGCAAGGACACTGGATTCCACAGTGCTCTGAGGCAGATGGGGTAGACTCGGGGTGTTCCCAGACTCTGGGCCAGGCCGAAGGCTCCTCTGCTTGGGATTCTGAGGACAGAAGCTGGGCCAGCACGTTGGATTCTCCCTCCTGGGATGAGGCTAGGACCTCCGGCTCTTTGGCCAAGAAGGGGCCAGGCGAGGGGAGAGGCAGAGACGGGCGCTGGGAGCCCCTTCCACTACCTGAGTTCCCCGAGGACTCGGGCCCCGCGGAGGAGCCACAGGAGCTCTCCTCCTGGACCACCTGGGGCTCCTCATCTGCAGGGCGGCACCTGGGCCCCGGGGAGCCTCCCGTTTCTCTTTCCACGGTGACCTTCTGCTGGGACAGCAGCCTGGGAGAAGAAGAGGAAGAGGAAGAAGATGGGGAGGGGTCAGAAACTGAGGACAGTGGCACCGGCAGCTGGGGGCCTGAGGGCTCCCAGAGGACCGAGGGCATGAGAGGGCTGTGTGGGCATTACATGGCAAGGTGAGCCACACTCCTGCCTCGCCCTGGGTCTGGTGCGGCTGCCAGGGCTGCTGGCCTTCCCCAAGGACATAGGATGCCACAAAGACTTGAGAGCCTGCTTACAGCATGGAGGTACCGAAGGGTTCTCGTGGCACCTCTGGGCACCAACATGACACAGGTGAGGTCAGGTCACAGTGGGCATCAAGGGCTGCGTCCACTTAAGAGCTGTCTGGAATTAGTGGGAGGACTGATCTCACTGGAGGCACCTCTCGCCTCTCAGAGCCTCATGCCTCCCTCAAGCACCCTCTGACTCCCCCCTCAACAAACCCCCTATACCACCCCCTCCTAGTCTCCTAGTTCATCAGTCCCTAGGGCTGTGACCAGATGAAGAAAAATCCAGTTGGCTGAGGGTGTTGGAAGGAAAAGAATGCTCATCATTCCAATCTCAGTCCCTAGAGTCATGGAATTGCAGTTTTTCACATCAGACAGACCTGGGTTCAAATCCCAACTCTGCCATTTACTGGCTGAGTGACCTTGGGTAAATGACCTTCCCTTTCTGAACCTCAGTTTCCTAATCTGCAATACCGCCTGGGTGTGGTGAGGGCTCACGGAGATCTCAGATGCACGAGCACAGGGTCTGCCACATTGGTTCTCTGTATGTGGTGGCTCCGAGGAGACCCCTGAGCATCTCCCACCTGTGGCCCCCAAACTCACAGTGGCTGGAAGGTTTTTGCAGCCAGGGAGCTGAATGATCTTGGCACTGTGATCTGAACTGTGCCATTTAATCTGCCAGGATGTCTGTGTCTCCATTTGTGCAAAAAAGATCTTTGTACTCGTTTTGTCCTTGGGGCTATGTCGTTTTGAAGCCAATGTAAGTGTATAGAATTAAATGGCAGATCTGGAAAAGTTCCTAGAGGTTGTCTGGTGTGGGAATTCTCAACCCATGCTTCCGAAAGACCTCAGATTCCAGGGGAGGGGACCCTTTATCCCCCCATCCCCACCCCCACTTCAACCATAGCAGCCTTACTGTGCCCTAATTTAGATACCATGGCTATCTACGTAGGGTTTTGCTTAGGGGGGGTTCCACTGCTAAAGAGAAAGCAAACCACACTTACAATTGAACACCTGTCTGAAGGTGAACACCTGAAGTTGAGGCCCAGAGTGGTGAAGGGACTTGCCCAAGTCAACACCAAGGCTGAAGGTGCTGCCCTTTACCCAAATATCAAGTTATTGTGTACAACTCCAAGGGTGAAATTTTTTTTGTTTTGTAATTGTGAAAATATACCCAACAAAACATTTGCCAGTTTACAACTTCTATGTGCATAATTCAGTGGCATTACATTTTTCTTGTGCAACCATTATCACTGTCCTTTTCTAATTTTTTCTGCCACCATTAATATAAAGTCAGTGTCCCTATGCAACCCCCCTTCCCCTCTAACCCATGGTAACCACTAGTAATCTTTGGTTTCTATGTATTTGCTTATCTTATATAAGTGAGATCATACAGTATTTGTCCTTTGGCAGCTGACAAACTTCACTCAGCATGATGTTTTCAAGGTTCATCCATGTTGTGGCAGACATCAGGACTTCATTTCTTGTGATAGTTAAGGTTATGTGTCAACTTGGCTAGACCTGGTTTTGAGTGGCTGGGCAGCCAGATGTAGTCATTCCCCATATGAGACTGGTAGTCAACTCCATGGTGGGATCTGCTGTGAACAGCTGAGTAGCTGCCTTAGGGATGTGCTCTGCTTCCAGTATATAAGGAGACACTTTGAGAAAGGTCTTGAACTTTTTGGCATATCTGGATCCTGCATTTAGCTGAGTCTTCCTCTCAGTGGCCTGCCATGTTGTCTGCCGATCTATTTCTGGACTTGAACTAGTGGCCTGCCATGTTACTTGGTAATCTTGGGACTGTGTCGTTTTACTTGTTGACCTTGGGTTTGTCAGCCTCAGCAGCCAGCAGCTGCCTGAGTTAAGAGAAGCCTCCAGCTCCGGCCTGCTACTCCGGCCTGAGTTTCCTTTCCTCACCTAATCCCTTCGGCTGATTGCTCTTCTCTCTGGCTTCCTGGCTTTTAATCCCCTTTCTCCTGCTCTTCCCACCTGCTACTTTGGGCGTCCCTGAGTTGTCTCTCCTCACCTGTAACCCTGGGGCTGACTGCTCTTCTGTCCGGGTTTCTGGCTTTTATCCCCTTTCTCCTGCTCTTCTGGCCTGCTACTCCAGGTGGGCCTGAGTTTCCTCTCCTCACCTAATCCCTTCGGCTGATTGCCGCCTCCAGCTTCAGTGGGCCAGAAACAAGAGGCAGTGCTGATGCCCAAGGTCAAGGAGTCTTTACCCAGCCCCTAGAGCTGGCACTTTGAACTCTAGCCTCCTAAACTGTATGAGACTAAATCCCTGTTTGTTAAAGCCGTCCACTTGTGGTATTTCTGTTAGAGTGACACAAGAGAACCAAGACAGTTTTCTTTATGGCTGAGAAATATCTTTTTGTATGGACATACCACATTGTGTTCATTCATTCATTTGTTGATGGATATTTTGGTTGTTTAAGGATGAGATATATTATCTCTACCAAGTTGCACCAACCCTGGCCCATTGGCCATGTCAGCAAAGGGCCTGGGTCTCAGTCAGGATTCCCCAGGGTCACTGAACTGGAAGGAAACCACCGCTGCCTGGAAGGTCACTCTCTCTCATTCTCTTCCTCTCTCTCTCTCTCTCTCTCTCACACATGTGCACACACCCTCCAGGGGTTTCCCCTGCAATGAGGCTTGTCCATGTCATTGAGCTCAGAGGAGGAAGAACCAGCTAAAACCACTGAGCTGGGGACAGCTGTGACTCAAGGTCAGCTCCCAGGGAAATCCCCAGTGCAAGGCCAATGTTTCTCCTGGGACCCAATTGAGCTGCTTTATGGTAGTCACTTCGGAAAAACTAAAAGTTTCTATCACTATTATCTTAGAACTGTGTGATGGAACCACTTTATTCTTAACCCTTGGTATTTTTTTATTGAAGTGAAGTTCACACAACATAAAATTAATCCTTACTCTTTTTTTCAGTGCCCAATTCAATGACATTTAGTACATTTACAATGTTGGGCAACCATCCAAGACAATTTCATCACGCCAAAAGGAAATTCTATAGTCGATATTTTTTAAAGAATTGTTTTCACAGTTTCAAATGTCTGATAGAGGCTAAGGTTTCTAGTAATTCTAAAGTCCAGCTCCTTTATATTTATGTTTTATTAAGTGGAACAAAAAACTGTGAGAAGCATTAGAAAAGAATGTGATACTTTTTAAGGTGTGTTAAATGATTTGTTAAGGCGTGTTCAGCATTTAACTGTTTACAGAGCCCTGTCACATACACAAACAAGGGCAGTGGCCAAAGCTGTACAGCTTGGGCTCCAGGTCATATTTGAAGAACCTCAAGGAAAAGATGGATAGTACCTTAAATTAAAGCAACATGTATAACTCTTTGGAATAGCAGAGAAAAGTCTATATTGTTTTTAGGTATTTGTATTTATTTCTAATTTGTCTCTGTTGTATTATATTTAAATAATGTCCTAATGCATGTTGGTATCCACCCTAACCTGTTTTAATAAAAGCTCTGTTTCCAGAGAAAAAGAGGGTTGAAGGGAAAAGTGTGCGCTCGTATTTTTCAGACCTCTCACCACTCATCTAGCAGTTAAGTCCATGAGGGTCTTGGATTGGGTTTCCAGAAGCTGACCAAGAGACAAGGATTGTGGATATAAAGCAGTTCACTGGGGATGTGATTCCAGGAAAGACAGAGAGGGGAGGGGAGAAGGGAGCCCGGGTAAAGGAAGGCAGCCAATCAGGGTGCATCATCAAACACTTCATCGCTGTGGGCAACTAGGCTAGATCCCCTCGTGGAACTCCCGGGAGTCAGTGGAGGGCACTCTGCAGACTTGTTCCCCTGCCAGAGGCAGGAGCTGGAGAATTTACCTACCAACCCCCATCAGTCATGTGTTGGTCATGTGATCCCTCAGGCACAGTTGCAGGTACTTGCAGGAGGGAATCATCAGGATTTCCCTCACGGGGAAGGTGGGCACCCTAGGGATATAGGTTGGGCATCACCACCACCTGTTAGATTGAGGCTGGAAGTGTGTGCCCACTACACTAGCTACTCACCCAATTGCAACTATGATCCGCAGAAGGATATAAAACAGAGTGGTGGCCTTGCAAACCCAAACTCTGCAGTAGATCTCTATTGAAGAGGGTCTTCCAGTGCCCATTGATTCTCTCAGGGCCACATGGTGACTGCCCAGTGTGGTGCTTGCAGATTGTCACCACTTACTGGCACCAGACCCAGGCTGAGCTGATCCAAGTCTCTTTGCCTGGAATTCAGAAGTCTCCCTGGCTGGTTGGGCCTGGGACAGGTAAATTCCAATCTGCTGGCTATATTTATCATTTTGAGGAGAGGAAATGCCAGGCTGCAGACAACACAAGATTAGGGCCAAGATGTGGCCTTGACTTCCCTGAGATGCTTCTGCATCCTAGTAATAAATTCTGCAGTTAAGCCAACTCCCCGGGTCCTCTGTTGCCTTAACCAAATGTCTACTAGCTCACAAAACAAACAATGAATATCATGACTTGTGGTCAAGGTTTGGGTGTTTGCCTCCTTGAATGGATGTACAGTGGGATCCTTTGCAGGAGACGGGGCAGAATTTTTCTTTCCAGGCGCTCCTCCCCACCCTGGCCTCCCATGCCAGGTCATATTTTGAGTATCTCTAAGCCTGGCAGCTCTGGTGGTATACTGCCTAAGGCATTTGACTGAAAACCAGAAGGCTAGCGGTTCAAACCCACCAGCCACCCCTTGGAAGGACAATTGGGCAATCTACTTCCATAGAGCGGCAGCCTTGGAGCGGCAGCGTCGGAGGGGCAGCCTCGGAGGCTGCCACCTTCTGTGTGCTGCCACCTTCTGGAAAGTGATGGAATTGTCAAAACTGCCCAGATTCCCCTTGTCCTCACTAGAACAGCACTCGAGACCTGGGAGAGGAGAGGGTTGGGATAATGCATGCTACATTCTGAGAACTCCTTTAGGGAAGGGAGTGTTTTTGCTCCTGGTACCAGAACCTGGCAAGGGTGGAAGCTTAGTATTGAATGAACAAAAGGATGAGTGAATGAATGTATGAATCAGGGTCAGTGAGTTTGAGTGAAATCCCTAGATGG